CACACACACACACATGCACACGTGCCAGATCAGACCATTGCATAGCCTCTGAAGTAATAAAATATTGTCTTTCCAGTCCCTTGCTGTTTACGACACTGCTATAACTTCCTATATATACAGATGTCAGTCTTCATCTGATCCTCTCTGTGGATCCTGGCTTTCATTTCTATAATTTGGCTTCATTTTTTTACTTCTTAAATGAAAACCTACAAGATTGCTTCTCTGAAAATATAATTGTATAATCCACATGGTTCTGGTTTTTACACTTTCCTCTAAATCTCAGCTTTTCCTAGCTTTCCCCTCCGGTGCCTTTCTGTCTTTCAGTCTCAGCAGTCTGCTCTTATTTCCACCTTTCTCCCACCAGTGTGACAGTGTCATAGCAATCACTGCTAACTGCTGGTGTCAGAAGTGGGATCGGGGTTGTTTTCATGCTTGGAATCTGTCTGACAGTACAATACGCCCCCAGACTCCCGCTACATTTGGGTGGGGGGTTATATGTCTGCTAAAGACATAAATGGTTCACACATATTCACTCCCACCTGCTTGAGACTTAACTCTTTCACACAGGGAGGGAAGGTTTTGCACGCCCCCACACTCCCATAGACTTTCACACGTCTCCAGCTGGAGAACTGAGGAGGAATCATATTTAATGCCTTGTTTGATGCGGAGGGGCCACAGAAATAGACTACAAAACAACAGTCTAAAAAAGTTTAAAAAGAGAACAGTGTCGCACCACTCACTTGTTAGGAAGATTAGAAGAAAACTTAGAGAAGAAGAAATTAGTCTATTGTTTCAGCAGTTAAATAAGGCGGCCTTTCAAGTGTGTTGAGACGGGTGTGAGTGTGTGCTCGCGAGAGATAATAACCATACTAAACATCTTATGACATTCCAATTTCATACGTGTTGTCAGAGCAATGCAATAAAGAAAAAGACGCTTCTGCATTTTTCACAGGTTCCGCTTTGCTCTCTTGCTCCCTTGCTCCCTCACATATTTTCATGTCTCCCACGTTCTTCTCGCCTCTCTCGTTCTCCCTCTCCTCTCCCTCTGTCTCCTCTCTCTGTCCGTCTGCTTGTCTTTCGCACTCAGCAGCTGCCGTGTCCATACTGTACAGTGTGTGCTATTTCTGAATGAAGCTGTCTTCTCGTGCAGCCAGCCTGTGAGCTTTGCTGAAGCCAGACCACAGCTAGCTGACTCTGGCTGTATGGTGGCCGTGCTCGTACACAAAAACGCTACAGTTGGCACCTGAAAGAGAGAGAGAAACAGAAAGAGACGAGACAGAAAAAACATACAGTGGCACAGAAGAGATTATTATAGCTACAGATGTTTTTTGGCACTAAAACAAAAAGCCCAGATTCAGTTTGGGTTTAGGTATTTTTCTCCCTTTTTCCTTTGAAGACACGCACTTAGGTTATGAAATATTACTCAGGCCAAAGCTGGTAGTTGGGAATCCTGAAGTGTGTCTCTGAATTAATAATTACAGAATAGGATTAGGAAAAAAAGGGAAAAATCTTCTGGTCTTTTGAGCATCTTTATGTTTTGTGGTTGCAGTGCTCTGACAGACTCATTCAAGCGAGTCAATGGCCTACAGCCAGAAAGGACAGGGGGACGACAATGCACTGCCATCAACCAATGAGAAAATTAAACAATCTAATAAGAAAGTCGTCACTGTTCAAGTCCCCTTCAATAGGAATCAAACTGATTTTTTTTT